GGGGGGGGTGCCCGGGGTCCCCCCCCCACCCCAAGGCACCCACCGCGCCGGGCACCCCCGCCACCCAAGTTCCCCACCATCTCCCCACCGCTCGCCCCCTCCCCACCCAGGGCTGCGGCTCCTCCCGCCCCCCCGCTCAGGCTGGCCGAGGTGTCTGCAGGGGTGCAAAGGGTCGGTGCCCACCCCGGGCAGGCACCCGGGACCCCCGAGACCCCCCCGCACCCTGCACAGGGCAGGCGGCAGCTGGAGAGCAGAGATAATTTGAGACCCTGAACCCAATGCCGTGTGTGCTGCAGGGGTGGGGGGCACCCGGGTGTCAGACAGTCCCCAACTGGGTTGTTTTTCACAGCACCCCACCACCCACCTATCCACCATTTCAGATTTAACACCCCCCTCTTCCACCCTTCCCCCTTCGGGTGCCCATTTTCCCACCAGAGCCCCCCATCGCGCTGGAATGGCCCCACGGTGCCCCACCACCGCGGACAGCATGGGAGCATGGGTTTTGTCACAGATTTTGGTGACCAGATGCATTTTCCCTGTGGAAAGCTGGAAGGGGCTGAGCCAACTGAGCACACAGGACACGAGTGTGGCAGGTCTCAGACCTTCCCCCCCCGCCCCCCCCGGCAGCACGGTTAGGACCCACGCATGGGACCCTTCCCTGCAGGCAGCTCGGCTCTCCCTCACACACTGACACTGGCCAGCCTGCCTGTATCGCTCCCGGCCCTGGGAAGCATTGCCCGGCTTGTCCAAACCCCTGCCTCAGCTCTATTTTTAGCCTTTCATCCTTATTTAGCAGCGAGGCTGGCCGGGAACGTGCAGGCAGGGCGCGGGAGCAGGCAGGGGCCGTGACGGATGCTGCTGCCCACCCCGCGACAACTGCGTCGCTGATCCACGGCGGAGGCTTAAGGGCGAGGAATAAATAGCCCTGTTCCTCCAACCCAGGAGCGGGGTGGAAAGTTATCCCCCAGGATTAGTTTTCACTTTGAGGCCCTGGAGCAGCCGGGGGACGGGGATGGGGACAGGGATGCGGGGGGAGAGGCATGGGCATGGCTGGAGCATCGTGTTTGGGGCTGGGAGGGGAGCACAGCCCCATGCCTCAAGCTCCCAGTGCCACGTGCTTTCCTGCTTCTCACAACCAGCGTGGGTGAAGGGTTCACTCCTCCATTCCCATCCTTCCCTGCTCCATTTTGCCATGGGGAAAAAAAGAGAATAAAGAACTGTAAGGACATGTTAACCCACATCTTTTGGCTTGGAAAAACACAGGCAGGGGCAGAAATGACTTGAAATTGCTGCTCTACCTCAAGACAGAAGCATGCGTGACCTAGATCCCCACCAAAGGAGTCTGTGACCTGTTTTTGGGCTCCAACACATACAAGATCATCTGCAGTTCAAACAGTTTTCTGAGCTCTCTCACCCATGCAAAGCCCGAGTCACGAGGTCTCAGCAGGTCTGGCTAAACATCTTCGATTTGCATTGAAGAAGAGCCACCAGCACAGATGAGTGACAACATTAATGACTTTGTTAGGTCTTGTTTACAAAAGCAGATTGCAAAAATGATGCGCGGGGACGAAGGGTGCAACCACAGACCACCCTCTCTCCACTGCTTGTGCCACCAGCTCTGCCAGGACCCGCTGGGCATCACCACGGGCCAGCTCATCGCCCAAAAACTTTCCAGTAAAATCTTCTCTCTCTTTTTTTTTTTTTCCAGACTGGGTTTCTGGGGGGAAAAAAAAAAAAAAGAAACCAAAAAAATCTGCGCTCACGGGACCGCCCTGCACACGGACCATGTGGGGCCAGGTCCCAGCTGGAAATCCCACGCGCCGGCACCGACACTGCCTTGCACCCACCCCGTCCTGCCCGGTCCTTACCAGCTGGAACTGGAGAGAGAGCCGAGACACTTTAACAGCTCGCATAAATACTTCTCTTATCCATAAGCTTTGGCAAACACTTGAAATGACCATTGGTACAAATTAGCTCGACGTTCAGCCAGCTGTTATCCCATTTACGGCAATTCAGCTGAGCATGAGATAAACCCCCCTAGGCTCACTTTTCTAGGCAAAACCCTTGAGACTTCTCCAGCCACTGTTGTTCCTGGGGAGAGATCGTGATAACACTGAAAAAGACATCAGGGCAAACTTCAAAACGAGCCGAAGCTGCCCCAGGTGGGTCTGGCACACACCGCCTCCGCTTTCCTGTCTTTGCACAGGCAGAAATCCCCTCGCCGCCACGGTCCCCCCTCCGGCAGCCCCGACCCCGCGTGCTCCCCGCATCCCCAGGCTCCCCTGGTTAGGGGGTTGTTGCAGCCATGAATCCCACCCCTACCATGCCATGGAAAGCCCCTGCTTTGCTTGAAAGCGGCTGGACAGAAAAGTTTCTGGCTGTTTAAGTGCTGCCCTGGAAAGGGAGAAAATTATCAGTGTATTGGGACAGAGGAAGATGAAGCAGGGCTGAGATGGGAGATCTCTCCAGCAGGGACACATCCCGTGCAGCCTGCACAGGAAAGACTGGAGAAACTGAGAAACTGCTAAAATCAAGCTAAAATAAGAGACCTTTGGGGCAGCACAGGCAGGGCCTCCGGCAGGCAGCCTCGCAGATGCGCCCGTGGGCTGAAGGAAGGATGTAACGTGATCTGGTGCGGCTCCTTCTCTGAAAGTTAGCGATATACAGAAGCGCAGGGTTGTAGCTGCCATGGCGAGCACTGCACACAGCGCGGGGTGCAGAGCTGGGGAGCGGGGTGCTGGGGCCGGCCTCGCTGCGCATCCCCATCCCCGAGCCCCAGCTCTGCCTCACTGGTTTGATGCCTCAGCCTGATGCGACCAAATCCTGTTGTTTCTCCACCATTAGCAAGAGAAACCCTACCCAGAGCCCTGCTTTGTGGCACAGTGGCATCCCAGTGCACCCCCAGGAAAACCAGAAATTGTCACAAGCGCATGTGCAAACTGCTGGAGCTTCATGCACCAGCAAGAGGCGATGGGAGCTGGACAGGCTTCTCGTCAGCTGCCCACACAGCTGCTGCTGTTCACGGCCCCAGCCATGCAAATTCAGCCTGGAAATACGCATGTGCTTTTGCGCTGGCCCCTGTACGCCTTCACTCTCCGAAGTCTGGCCCAGGATTTTTAATTAACCCTGGAGAGGTGGAGACCAGCACCTTGCACTGACAGAGCTTTTTATCCCACAAATGATCTACTCAGCCCAAATAAGTACTCTCAGGCAGACTTGCCCCATGTAAGAAGTGCTGGGGGAGATAAGAACAGAGGCGCTCTCGTGGTTTCGGAGGGGTGGGAGCCGATGCCAGGAAGCTGCTGTGACTCACGAAACTTCACCCAGGTTAAGCAGCACGGACCCAAGAGGATGCAGGCAACTGGTCCCACCGGTCCCCGGGGAGACTTGGGGCAGCCATGGGCCTGCCCCTCACCTTCCTCACCCTCCTAACCAAGCGGTGTTTCACAATTTCCCTCGTCCCAGGGTTACCAGGGCAGAAAAAACACCTCCAAGTCGACCACGCACCTCCGCTCCCTCGCTGGCCGGGCAGGCGGTGCCGGGGCGGCGGCGAAACGCCAGCGTGCTGGCAGCCCCTGAGCCGCGGGCTGCTTGGACTTCTCCCAGGGGATATTTGGAAAATGTCAGAATAGAACTTGTTGACAAAAACTGGCAGTGTTTCCATATGGGCACGGCCTCGTGACCAGGTTGAAACACTCCTATTTCAGCAGTGCTGGGTGGCAATGGCTGATTTTTCAGGACGGAATGTGTGTTCATTTAGAAATCTCTATTATTTCACGGCATTTTAAAAAATCATCAAAACCAAAACATTTTGAGGAACCTGTCTTTCCTCCCATTAGTTTTTAGACAGGACACTTTCAAATCCATGTGTTTCCCTACCTCTTTGGGACCCATTTCCAAAGCGCAGGATTTCCTCCTGGAAAAGGGCACCCTGGCTCCAGGCCCAGCATTTGGGGTGTCTGGGATGCTCAGGACGGGGGGTGCCAGAATGCAGCCCCCCAGGCCGTATGGACCACACCGACAGCCCCCTCCAGCCAGCACGGCTACCCCCAGAGCAGAGCTCCTGCCAGAAAAAAAACACCCCAAAACCACCGCCTTTACACAATTACCCCGTCACGAGCTGCAACTTCATGGGGTGAAGGCAATAGCCAGGATGGGTGCTGCCTTTGCCCCTCACATCCTTTCTCCGGGGGAGCTGGGGTTCAACCCCCCAAGCCAGCCCTGCTCCGGCTGGACCCCAGCCCCGGTGCAAGGGTCCTGCTCCCCTTTCCTCTCACCCCGCAGCATCCCTGCTGCAGGGGACCCCAGGGACAGAGCATTCCCGGGGCTGGGGGTCCTACTACCCTGCTTAGGACGAAGCAACCGGAGCCCAGGGCGGGGACACCCCTGGGTGGAGGGGCCCCAGGGCCGGAGCAC